CGGCGTCTGTAGCAACAACAGTGTAACCTCGGCACCAATGCTGGTATTAGTACAGAAACATGAACGTCATCCATGAACCACTGGAAAGCCTGTCAAGGTCCTTGCCAATAGTTTGGGCAAAGATCACTTCAGGGCCTTTTAGCATAACACCTCAGAAACTCCCACACAATTCATGAACCATCGTGCGGAAGAAAAAGATAAGATAAGATAAGATGAGATATACACTTATTAATCCCGTTAGGAAAATTTAAGTTGCACACAGCAGCACACGTTGGGAAGGACCTGAGCCTCCTCAGGAAAGAAACAGGCCTGTCTGCCGTTCTTGTAGAGGTCTCAGTGTTGGTCCGCTCCAGTCCAGTTTGTTGTTGGAGGGTGTCACCCCCAGGAACTTGTAGGTGTCCACAATCCCTACCCTCTCTCCCCTAATAGCGCAACTGGGGAGGGGAGCCTCATTGCTGCGCCGGAAGTCCACCACCAGCCTCTTTGGTTTTTCCCGTGTTGAGCTGTAGGTGGTTTCTGTCGCACCAACTAGTGAAGTTTCTGGATCAGGTCTCTGTACTCCTCGAGGCATGGACCGAGGCAGGTAAAACCCCGGGCTCAGCAAAGCCGTCCTAATAAAGTCTGATGTCTGGAACCATTTCGGATTTAAAACAACACAGGACAAAGAGCTGGATAAAACCAAAGTTGGTTTGCCAGATCTGCCCAAGCGAGCTCAGTTATTGTAGAAATACTGCAAACCTCAAAAACCACTTGACAAGGTATCACACTACGCTAACGTTAGCTTCCGACAACAAGCCGTCCGCGCAAAACCAAAAGGAAACTGAGGGAATCACTAACATTACCAGCCCGATTCTCCGCCAGGCATAATGATGAACAGGAGGCCATCGCAATTTTGGTTTGCAAAGATTTACGCGCCCGTACTCGGTAGGGTGGAAAACGAAGGGCTTCAAGCGGCCCATTCTGGTGCCGAACCACACTACGTTTAATGGTGTTTACGTAGTAACGTAACGTCGGAGGCGGGTGTTTTCAACTGCGGGTGATACTGAGTCACTTGCAACTAGGAGCTGCCTAACCCCAAATCATGTCAATGGAGCCCCTTTTCCTGCACAAGAATCTCACAATTAGTGAGAAGTGAGAACAAAGTCACAATAACACGGACTTGACTTTAGACAGTTTAAGTTTACTTTTAGTTTTGTTGACCATTATTATTATTTTTGCACTTTAATAAACAATGGCCTTAATGCATTTGCAGTATGGAATTGTAGTCAAGTTCACTTTCACTTGCAATTCCATTCTAATTTCAGAATTGCACTTTTGGAGACTTTTACTTTATTTAAGAGCAGATTGAATTGAATCGAATCGAATCGTGATTAACGATTCAGAACCTTATGAATCGAAAATCGAATCGATTTAGGAAATTGGCCATGAGCTGCTGTCTCACCTGGCTTCTTGTGATTGACTGTTTCACACCATAGTATGGTGAGTTCTGGGGCTTAGAGGATGATATCATACCCAGTGCATCATGCGTGTGTTATTACAAGGTTTGGTGCTGTGAGTGCATGATTTGTGTACAAAAACACCTCATGTCCCATAGTAATGGTAGAGGCCTTTTCATAAGCATATGCTGCCACTGCCAGTCCCCTGTAACAGTTGACTTAAGTTGGGTGCTGTAATAGGCATTCAGTTGTTTATGCTGGCCTTGCTTTTGTTTTAACACAGCAATGGCAAGACCCAGATTCTCTGCAACAAAGAAATGAAATGGTTGTGAGTAATCTAGATTCGTTAGTGCAGGAGCAGTTGGATAAATCACCTTTAAGTTGAGCAAATGCCTGCCTTGCATTCCATTGCAAATGTGTAGTTTTGTTTAGCACTGAGGTTTTGATTAAGTCTTACAGTGGTCATGATTTCAAAGTGTAGTCAGGTAGCCAAGGGCAGCTGTAACCTGTAACCTGTAAAAAATAAAAAAATAAAAAGAGACAAGGCTTGTTTGATGGCGATTGGTCGCGGTGCTTTGCTTACTATGTCTAGATGGTCCGTTGCAAAAACTCTAGTCTAGTGTAGTTGCCTACTTAGGTACTTGACCTTTGACAAAAATTTAGGTTTCTGTCGGCTTACTTTATGCCTTTTTCTGCGCTACTAGCTGCAAAACTACAAAATGTCATCTACATACTGTAATACGGTTGACCTTGTGCCTTGCGCAGTTGATTAAAAATTGACAGTGACTCGTAGCCGTGTTGCAGACAAGTGTACTGATACTGGACTCCTTCAAACGTGAATGGCAAGAGATATCTTGCCAAGAGATATCTTGCCATTCACTACAGAATGCAGCGGGATATTGAAGAATGCCAAACAGAGGTTAATCACTTTGTAGAATTGCCATCTAATTTATGGCTCTCCAACTCGTCTAGCATCACTCAAAACTTTGGCCTTAGTGGTGTCTTTTTGATTTTGTCTTTTTACTTTGTATTTCTCCACACATTTTACCATGCATTCCAGGATCAAGTCACTTTGTTTTTCATGCTTCTGTAGCACCATTACAAGTGGGGTTACAGTTGTCATGATGCTGTGCAAATTTCTCTGCTTTGCTGGCTCACAATGCTCTGTTATGTCCTCACTCCAACTCAAAGCTGTTTTAATTTTGTGCACCGTATTTACAATTCTACCTAAACGCGGTGGTTGCGGGGGTTGTGTATGTGAATATGATTAACATCAGTTTCAGTTTTATCAGACAGATAGGACCGTTTTACAGGTCTTACTTTAAAGGTTATGTGTATTTCTAGCCTAGGAAGGCCTGCTGGAGAGCCCATGTTATTCTCTGTAACAGTTGCACTACAATTGTCAGATAATTCATACACAGGAATTATTGCAGTGCACAATCCAGAGGCCCTTAAACAATGAGTGCAAAGCTGGACCTAAAACTGACGGACACCAGAATTAATTTAATCTGTCGTCCCAGTGTTCATGTGGAAATTTTGTGACTTTGTGTGTCTTTATTTTGTCACCGTGTGATTGCCCACAATAGAGAATTAATGAATGGTTGTGTAGCTTGTCTGATTATGTCCTCAGTGTCTTTACGCTAGGCGTACCCAATACCACCCAGCATACTGCTTATTTATGTGAATTAACCATTTACCCCAATGTATAATCAAACTGCTCAAATCTTCCCACACGCAAATGCAAAAATGAAATTATATATAAATATATGATATATGATCACCACATCAATTTTCCAAAACAGCAAAAAGGCAAAAAGCCAGCACACAAAATGTGTTTATGATGTTAGCTAAAGTTATTTAGAACATGCGTACAAAACTGTACTAATATAGTTCATGAAACACACTTTGTGATAACAGCAATTTATCTCAGCAGTTATGCAATTTAACCAAACAAAAATCAGAATCAGAACGATCAATGAACAATTTAGCTTTTTATAATTATAAATTATAAATGATAAAAACTCCATCTTTCTCAGCAGGCATTCTCAGCCCTCTCAGTCCAAGGTTTTGTATGTTGTCTATAGGTAAATAGTTTATACACACTTTATGGCGGTGTAAAAACTGTGTCAGTATCTGTTTTCTAACTATGAAATTTGCCATTTTCACATGATGATGATGATGATGATGATGATGATGAACTTGGCATGGAAACTGTTATAGAAGTTTAGTATGGTATTACTGTAGTGTAACAAGGTGGAGGAGTGAATAATACATCATGTCATACTGTTATACAATATTTCTTATTGGACGTGTGACAGTCACTCCTTGAAGGCATTTACACTTCCACACAACTGGCCAATCACTGGATAACGTGGGTGCAATTGTTGGATTATTCGTTTATAGAAATAAACATAGTCCCCTAATTCTGCTGTCAGAAAAAGAGTTTCTGATACTCTGAGACAATCTGACAAGCCCTTTGCTTAAAGCATACTGAGGCATTTACATAATACATTTCTGTGGAGGGATGCAGGCTCTATTCAGACTGTTAAATATAAAGGGAAAAGCTAGTTACTTTGTGGTCGTGGTGCCCTAGGTTTCTGTGACTGTGCAGTGTATTGAATGTTTGTTTTTATGTCCTGCAATTTAGATCTGGCGTGAGGTTAATACTTCTTTGTTTCACATAGATTTTGGACTCTACACATAATAACTTTTTTTCCATAAAGAAATCCCCTGAAGTTTTATTCCTTGGAGTTAAACATAATGGAAGGAGACTGAGCAAACCTCAGGAAGCTGCAAGTGGAACGCGTTGTTCGTTCTTAAATAAATCACAGTAATGTCATTCCAGTATGCGGTGGTTTATTCTGCTTTCATAATGAAAAGGGAAATCTAATGTGGACCTGTGTGAAATGTCCCTGCTCTGAATGATTTTTGTCTCTGATTATGCTTAGGTGTTCCCACACCAACGGAGGAGGTTCTGCACCATACACTAAGCATGTTGGTCCGTGAGCGGAAGATCTACCCAACACCCGACGGATATTTTATTGTAACACCTCAGACTTACTTTATAACTCCAAGCCTTGTCCGAACCAGCTCCAAGTGGTACCACTTAGATGAGCGATCCGCTGACCGACACCAACAGCAGCAACATCAGAACCAACAGCAGCATCAGCAGACACAGTGCACCTCTCCTCTCTCTGGCACTATCACTCCATCCACCTCTGGAGTCGTGCGAGATCGAACACATACAAAATCCAGCCAAAACCACAGTGGAGGAGGCGGGGATTCTTTTTACAACAGTTATCGTGGAGAAGACCCACCTAGCCACCACACCACCCTGCAGCGCCGATCCCCCAAAGACCACCGGGAGGCATACTCATCCCCGCACTCCTCACAAACACCTCCTCAGCAAGCAGGAGGTAACGCAGAAAAAAGTCGCAGCACCCTCGGGTTCCCCTTCAAGACGGACACGCTAACTAAGCACCGAGGTGGGGGAGGAGGAGGAGGAGGAGGAACTGGAGAAATAGAGAAACAAGCAGGTGGAGGAAGTGGTACAGGAAGTCGGAAATTTGGTTTAAAGCTGTTCCGTCTAAGCTTTAAGAAGGATAAGGCCAAACAGCTGGCTACCTTCTCTGCACAGTTCCCCCCTGAGGAGTGGCCGCTCCGTGATGAGGAGGCACCCAGCCAGCTGCCACGCCATGTAGAGATGGAGATCATCCGCAGAATCAACCCTGACCTTACTGTGGAGAACCTTGCACGGCACACAGCGGTCATGAAGCGTCTCGAAGAAGAGCGTGCCCAGAGGAGCAAAGCATCATCAGCCAATCACAGCTCTAGGAGTAGGAGAAGTGGTGGTAGACACAGGAAGCAGTCTCAGACCAAACTCAGCCGCTCACATAGCAAGACAAGGATGTCCCGCGGTGAGCCGAGCGACGGTTCCCACTTGGAGCTGGCCGACAGGGACTACAGAGCCTACTCATCTTCGCTGGCTCGGTCCCCGAGGGAACACGCACTGGCCGTGGAGCGGCAGCGGGCCCGGCTTCATCTGGCACACAGCAACCCCAACATCCTTGACTCCTCCCACCTCCCTGTCACCCCGGAGTGGGATGTGTCTGGAGAGCTCGCCAAGAGACGCACAGAAATGCCTTTCCCTGAGCCAAGCCATGGCCCATCAGCCCACCACTCCAAAGTCCACCGCTCACACTCCCATACCCAAGAGAGGAAGTCCAGGAACGAACGCAGTGACAAGGCCAAGGAACGTTCCAGATCCATGGACAATTCTAAAGGACCTCTTGGAGCTGGATTGATCGGACCACCTGATTATTACGACGACCGGAGCCGTTACTATACTGACGATGGCACCCTGCGAGCCAATCCGAGCTCTTCTCACTACTCTCGTGCCACACCACCCTCAGCTAAGCTGCCTGTGGATTCTATGGGGTTGGATGGTGGCAGGAGCTTAGAGAAGAGTAAGAGCAGGGACAGCCTGCCAGCATACTCACCCAAACCACTGCCCACCTCTGTCCCTCCTGATGATTACTTTCAATGCGCCGGTTCTGAGGCTGTTCTCACAGCAACAAACCCACTCGGAACTCTGAGCAAAAGTAGCCATGATGGGTTAAAACTAGGCAACACTGAAAGGCAAACAGACAGACAGACACCACATCCCCTAGAAAATAAGGAGGACTCAAAGGTGGGACCTAAGGGTGGCAGCCTGCCTCCAATACCTCTTTCTATCCCTGACCTCCCCCTTCCTAATGGACGTCCATCCCACAGTGCCTCCTCTGGTCAGGAGAAACGTAAAGAGATCTTTAGTAAAGATACACTTTTCAAACCTCCTCCTAGCCTCCCTTTGCCCGGCTACAGCTCTCTGAGAAAACCCCCAGTCCACGCCTCCTGTACTCTGTCATCGTCCTGTGATGCACTCGATTCCCAGGAGGCCTTTGATGCTCCCAAACCTCTGATGGCCACACCACCTGCTCCCTCTCAGGGGATTGAATCTACAACTAGTGCTGCAGAGGCCTCCTTCGACTACTACAATGTGTCAGACGATGATGAACTCGAGGAGGGAGGGACTAAAAGTCGAGGAGATGACGAGAAGGCTGGAGGAGGCGTTGTTGGGATGGGAGGAGGTGGAGCAGGGACCATGCAGTGGCTATTAGAGAGAGAGAAGGAGAGGGATCTACAGAGGAGGTTTGAAAGAACCCTGACCTTCCCTGGTGCTAAAGAGAACCTTCCAGAGCCTAGTCAGAACCAGCAGTCAGCCCACTCTGCTAGACTAGACAGTATGGACTCCAGCTCTGTTACTGTTGACAGTGGATTCAACTCTCCAAGGTGAGAACATATATAATACATACTGCATACATAAACATTATTATCCCTTATTTCTGTACCCAGTAGTGTATAGGCATATTTAACCCTCTCCTTTTCTAGAGCCTTGCATTGTGACATTGTTAGCAAAAAGTTGTACATTTGTTTCCTTGTAAGCTAAAATGTATGTACTTTTAGCACATGCATGCACACTAGTGTGCAAATTGTAGTTAGCTGTGCAAAATGGGTCCATCAAATGCAATGTAGGGTTAGACAGGATTGCTTAGGTTAAGGAAATTAAACTTAAGTTAAGTGATTCTGGATTCAAAATGCTAAAAAGCAGTTATTATTGTCAGTTGTTGTTTTCGAGGGCTGAGTGAGCCAGGGTACATGCATTTCATTGCAATTGAATGTACATAGTACATGTACATTCAATTGTACATGTAATACATTTGAAACTTGAACTTGAAACTACTAAAATCCTAACAATATCTGGTTTTTAGTAATGTAATGTAATACTCAAAAATATAACTTCATCTTCTAACAGATGTTGTTGTTTAACTCTCAATTATTTAATGCTGTGCTAGGCATTTTCCATCTCAGGTTTAACCATGAGTTCAAAGCTCTGATAAAGCCTAAGAATAAAATTTGAAATTATGTAGGTTCTGACCTGCATTCATTGCACACTGGAAGTATTTGATTCTGTTATCTGTTTCCTCTTGTTTGTCTCTAGAAGTGGAAGCTTCAAGCTCTTTCTTGTTCAGCTCTGGTGTTGTGGTTCTATAATTTCTCAATGTGTGTCTCTGCAGAACAAGGGAGAGCTTAGCATCTAACACCTCATCCATAGTGGAGAGCAACCGTCGGCAGAATTTGGCACTGAGCCCCGGCCACCTCGGCATCACTACCGGCAACGGTCCCCCCTTCTCCTTCCGCACCATCCCAGAACCTGCTAGCACCCAACCAGAGAAACTCCAGAAGCCCAGCGCCTGCCTTGCCTCAATCACCAGCGTCTAGGGGTGTAACTAAGGGTTGGGTGGAGTGCCAAAAGCCAACGGACAGGGGCCAGAAAACAAAAGTACCACCCCAAGGACTGTTACACCTGTAGACTGACTGAATCAGTGGAGCTGCCACAAGCCCACTGTGGAACTATAGCTGTTACCACACACGCATACACTCTGTCAGAGGAATTTAGACCACCAGGAAATTGCTCTCTTTCTCCCTCATGCACACATGCGTGCATGCGCGCACACACGTACACACCAGGCCACTGGGCAGACTTTGACCATGTCATTCTACAGCCTCTAGTTTACACACTGCTGTTGTGTTGTTACACTTTTGTGGGTTATAGTTATAGTATGTGTGTGTGTGTGGGGGGGGTAATCTGTTATCTCAGGTCATGTTATTTCCACTCCCATTCCAGCTGCTACAGATTAGTGCATCTCCCTCTTGTGGTGTCTACTGGTATTACACACTGAAGACGCACAGAAATGCAGCTCTGCTGACTACTGTTACTGATGGTACACTCACGCTTTGTTAGCTTTTGGTAGACACCCTATAAGGTGCAATGCCACAGGACATAAAACAGTCAATACTGTTGACCATCACTCAAAATGCAACAACAATGTGAGGTGGTCAGTCAAATGAGTAAGACTGCTTTTACTGTACACCCTAACACCCTCTGTAGAATGAAGCTGAGCAGTTCTTTTATCTGTTGGATGCCATGATGCCCATCTAAACTGCCTGAACACACTTGCCAGTTTTTAAACAGCTTTTAAAGGTGCAGCAGGTAACTTGAAAATAACTAATTCTCATATTTGCAGAAATCTTCACTGTATCCTGAGTTCACGAGACTGATCATTAAAAATTAGGGTGTTCCTAATGGCTTTTGCAAGAATTATTTAAATTGAAAATTGTTGAGTGTCATTCCCAGGTCAGCTTGAGATCCCAAAGTCATGCATTCTTGTAAGTATATAATGAAAGTATGACAAAAGGTTCTTTTATCCTAGTTACCTACTGCAGCTTTAACTGTCTCCTCCAACTGTCACATATATGGACAGGCTGAGGTGTAGCTCCAGGGAAGAAATGTTTGACGGACTGTTTTGAGAGGAACAGAGGCACAGTGTTTGTCTCTTTTTGACGTTACCCCTCATGGTTGGGATGCAGCTGCGTCATGTTTCCACTCTGTCCAGCAGCTTCCAGAAACAATCCTCTGCCATTCCAGTCTGCCAGTATGTCAATTTCCACTGGACACATCCAGTCTACTATTATAACAGGCTGGGTGAATTTTTCCCCAAAAGATAGGGGGAATTAGTTTGTTACAACAGCACAGAGACGGCTGAGTGGTAATGAAACATTTTGCAAACCTTTTGAAATAAATAATATATTAAAGAAATCAGAGATGTGACATTAAAAAAAGCTAGAAAGCTATGTAAAGATTATACGTACAAGTGAATTTCTATACAGTGTATAAATGCCTATATTTATTGACAGTTGACATACAATTAATATTTAATGGCATGCTACATTTTGTTACTGATTTTGTCTTTAGTACATATAGCAAAATTAGTTTTTATTGTTTGTTTATAGAGTCACTTCACAGTGATATTCAGATATAAGCTATTGAGGTCCTGCAGATGACTTTAACAGCCACCATACTGGCAGGCAGAAAACAAAAATGTCTCTGTCCTGCTAGCATGCAAATATATTCATAATGACTGCTGAGGTAGCTAATTTAGATTAAAAAAATTTAATTTCTACTATGCCAGTCACACCACTAAATCAGCAGTTAAATGTCCAGTGTTTAACCTTTAGGAGGATCTATTGACATAAATGGAATATAATATTCATAGATATGTCTACATTAGTTAATAATCACCTGAATATAGGAATCATTATGTTTTGTTACCTTTGAATGTGCCATTAATAGCTACAGACAGTGCTGGTCGCCTTTTGCGGAGGTTGTGAAGGTGAACCGCCATGTTTCTACAAAAGCCCAGAAGGGACAAGCCAAACACTGACTCTAGATAGGGCCATTTGCATTTTTACATACGTTTTACAGCCACCATAGTTTCTCCCTCATGCTTAGAAAGAGAGGTTGAACCAAGTGAGTTGCAAACTGCAACTGCACCGCAAGATGCCACTAAATCATACACACTTCACCTTTAAACGCCATCTTATTTATTCTTTAACAAACACTGAGATTTATCATTATCAGTGACTAAAAGCAGTGTCGTGGTGGTGGTGGTTCTGGTATTGGAGATACTATATACGAAGGGACCATTGTAGTTAAACTTGGACACAGTTCACAAGGCTTTGTAACTTTTATACTTATAAAAGATAACTGTAGACACTGAAAAACAGCATTTAGCTTTGTTACAGAAGGTGTAGTACAGTGACTACAGTTGGCTACTCATGAAGATACTTTGGTCCTCATTTATATTGACTAAATCAGCTAATGTTTATTGTGACTCACTCAACTATGATTAATGCTGGAACAGCACCGTTTGTCACCATGCCTCACCATTTTCTATTCATATGAAGCCTGCAGCACACTGTATCTGTTGTAATGTTAGCCACATTAACTAATTAAGAAACAGACAAGGCGTAGGTGCTCATTATATTAATGATTTATTCATTTATTTATTAATTTACCTTGGCAGACTGTTACCAAAGGTTACATATGAATCAATATGCACTTGAAGACCTGAACAGGAACAGTATAGCCCTTACATTCATGTAATTCCCTTTTTTACCACTATATTTCTTTAGCTCTTTAGAACTCAGGTGAGACCTCAGGTGGTCAGAAGGTGGATACCAGCCCCATTTGATAACTTCATGGAGAAACTATGAATTAGCCATTGTTGTTTATGGAGCTGTTGTGTTCTTCTGCCCATAAGTATGGCACTCAGCACTAGATATCAATAATCACAGCAAGACCTCAATAAACACAGAAACTGAGATAGTCATTGGTTTTGTTTTTACATGAAAGGTTTTCACCATTTATTGCTTCTATACATTTGATGTCAGCTAAACAACTTGAAAGAAAAACAAATCCCCTTCATTCCATTAAACACAGCAGAAAAACCAAAAACAAGTGAACCAAACAACAATAAATGTGTGAAGATTGGGCTGCTTGAATGACACAGCTGCATCCAGTGGTGAGGGGTTAGTCACATCACTGTTGAGTTTCATAGCTTAGATGTTTGATTGAGTAGCTGGCTTCTTCTAAGAGCTGGGAGATTTTAACCAGCAAAAATCACAGACTATTTTCACTAGATGGGTTGTTCACATTCATTAGGAGGAGCTCTACTGGCAAGGTGAGGTGGCTGAGTGTCCAACAGAGAATATGAAATGAGATCCAGAACAAAAAACTCATCCAGACAGTGTTCTACACAACAAGCAGGGATGTGACTTACTTTTTTTAATTCAGTAGTTCTTTATTTATACACAACTTTACCATTCATTTATATTTCTGTCAAGCTCATGACTACGCACTGCAAGTCTTTCTTCAAAATTTGAATCAAATCCCAGAACCACTGTCACTCCTGGTGCTGTATGATGTATTATCGTCAGTGATTGCCATGATAATAGTCATAATGAAAAGAGTGATGATATAGTTGGAATATAATACTAAAATGGCTGCTTACACTTTAACTTAGACGGACAGTGGGACCACTGACTTGTGACACTTCGAGATGTAAAATAAGACCCACATTCAAAATGTTTTTTTCTCAGTAATATAAAACTAGACCTGAGCTAAGCTGGATTTACCTATCTCAACAATTTCTGCAGTCCTATAGGTCAATCATTTCCCATCCTCCTATAGGCTCAGAGAGCTGTCAGTCATCCCAGTGTTGTCGTCCTATAGGCTCCTTTAAAACTACCTCCACAGCAGCAAAAACACAGCCTGTCCTTTCTATTCGCACTGTCATCAGCCTCTAGCCTGTGAATGTCTACACACAGATGCATACACACATATACACACTAACACGCTACACATTGAATTGCTCGACTCCATGTTGTTTCCTTCTCTTCACTAACAAGGTTTCTTCTAATGGTACATGATAGCATTGTGGTTCATTGCCACTCTCGCCTTTGAGTGTGTTCTCAGTTTCCACACTGGAAGGCAGTAAGAATAGTCTGCCACCATAGCCTCTGCCCAGTTCCATCAATTTTGACATCATAAATATTTGCTGTTCCACGATCTGACAAGCACTTCATTTGAAGCTTACTGACCCTTTAAGTGTGCCTCAGTAAAAGATACAAGTGTAGCTGCTTTTGGTTAAAGAACTCAACTTGAGTTAATTTGTATTGTAGAACTATTTTCATAGATTTCCATGTTTTCTCTCAATGTGGGGTGCTCAGTTACCTATGGCCTGCAGTCCTTGTCACAGCTAGTGTTGGTCTGGGCAACATCATCACAACCAACCAGTACAAGTCACTAGAGTAGCGACAAGAACGAAAATCCTCATTGGCTTCCGATCTGAAAACACATTGTGTTTGTTGGAATGCACAACCAAACCAGACGTACTGCTACAGGGAATCAAACTCCTGCAATGGTAGTCTGTCAGAACAAATGTAACAAACACTTCTTTCATGAAAACTCCCTTGATTCCATTGAAGAACTAGTCAGATAGCTCCAGGTATGATGTAAAAAGGTATTATACTTACCACTAGAGTAGTACTCCCTGACATTTTAGTTCCCATTCTACCACTGCTTTCGGTTCTACACTGCATCCTGCCGCTACACAAGGGTCCAGCGTTATGTGTTACCACTACAATAAAAGGTTCAGTATGCTTCAAACTGCGAGTACTAGGACTTTGCCCTTTTCTCCCTCTATACCAGAGTACTGGTTTATATTCTCTCTGTAAGGGATTGATGTTTTTGTTCTGCTAATATGGTCACTGTTAAGGTCAACATTTTAAGATTCTAATCTCTGTTCTAACACTGCAAGATATTTAGTCTGTTACACTGCTATACTTGTGTTTTAGTCCCAGGGGTGCAAGGTACTAAAATCCAAGGGAGAAAACCCCTGGGGATACTACCAACAATACAGATTCTAGTCTCTGTTCTCTGACTGCTACGATTGTAGTGAGTAGTCTACAATGTCAGCAGGGTTCTAATACAAATAAAAGGTTTCAAGTCCTCCCTCTGTCAATATTCTAGGGTTATACTGTACATCCTTTCTGTATCTGTAATAGGGTTCTTGTTTCTGCTCTAACCCAATAGTAGGTTTCTGATACATCATTACAGTAGGCTTCTAGTCCCAATTATGCCTCTACCAAGGTTTGTAGTGCCGGTTGTATCCATGTAGTTTGGCCTTATTCCCTATTCTATGAAAGACACAGACAGGAATAAGTCCCTGTTCCACCTTTACTATTTAGAGGGTGCCCTGTCCCTACAAGTACAGTAGTTTCGGTCTCTGTTGTACCACTAATCTTGGGTTTACCACTACAGTTGATTTTTTTGTCCCTACAGTGGAGTTTAATCTCTATTGTACAACAGTTCAGGGGTTTAGGCTCTTGTTCCACAACCACAGTGGGGTTCTTCTCTCTGTTCTACATGTAAAATAGGGCAGTAGTCCCCTGTCTGGTGGAGGTCATGGGTTCCATTTCTCATGTGTGATGTTTACACTGCCCCCCACCCCAATCCTCTCTGCTACTGTCTGGCCCAGTGGCCCTCCACTAACCCTTACTCCCCTCCAGCTACAGTCCTGTAACCTTCCATCCCTTTTCTACACTGACAGTCCATGAAATGTCTTCCCTTAACATCGGTGGTGGTTTCTAAAAAGGTTCAAGAATAACATTGTTTCTAATGGTGACGGTATGTCATACCTGTAAATGATGTTTATCTGTCATGCCTAGTCAAATAATTTAAACAATAAAAAGAGGGATTTTTTAAATGTCTATAATATCTGAAAGTCCCTTTGATGTGTAGTACTGGTGTTAACGTTGTTGTAGTGTATGTGAAACCCTATGGGGATTGTGTTACTTTTTAAGATAATAAAATAACAATGTTTGGTTACACAACTGTTTATGTGTCATAATGTGATCAACCTTAGTGCCTTATGAGGATGCAAGCTACTAGGGCTCAGCTTAAACAGGGTGAGCAGAACAGATAAATAGAACCCATCTTCCATCCACCCAAATTCATATTGACAACGTTCCGTGCAAGGCTTTTGGAAAACGGCATAAATGGAAAGAGTAACTCCTGCACACTGATACCCTACCACAAATTTATTTAAACAGACATTTCGGACCCAACACTTCTTCGTCAGTGTTTAAAACACCTTATTACACCCATATAGGCCACTGCATGGACCAACTGCATGGCTCTATGATGAAAGGTATAATTAACCATCCAACCTGCCTAGAGGGATCATAGTAGTAGACATTAGTGTAATGGTTCAGTAGTATACTTTAACCCTTCTCTCTTCAACTGTTGCTGTTACCTTTATCCAATAAAGACAAAAAGCCCTAACAAAATAATCTATTCAATTCCAGCTTGTGCTAAGGATTGTGATGTGGTTTGACCAAAAGCTCCTTAACCCATTTCTGCCCACAACTGAAATATGGAATTGATAGTATACTGAAATGTATTCGTGATCAGTTACAGTACTAGTTACTGAGACAAAGTAATGTTATTACTAGTCATGAGACACTGCCCAACGCCGTTTATAAGATTACTCTGATAGGGCTGTCTTAGAGCTATGATTAGATCTGAAACCAGGCTGGAATACATCCAATACACTGTGGATGGAAAGGGTAAAGAAAAGGTAATAATAACTTGGGCAATAACCAACTTCTTTTTTTTTAATCTATTAATTATTTTCTCTGATTTAGTGATTTTAAATTGTTCTATTTCAAAATGTCAGAAAACTGAAGAATGTCCAATGCAATTTAGAAGAAAAAAATTTAGTTAAGACGCTGGATAAAGAATTAAACAAGCAATTATTTGCAACTTATTGTGTCAGTATGGGCTGACAGCGATTTGCACCTAGTTAAAAATAAATAAGTTTGGAACCTGAAAAGTTGGTTACCAGTTGGAAAATAGCCGGTTTTCCCTTGGGAGTGGACATGTCATATTCTACAGGTCTTGCATTCTGCAGTGTCTTTGCTGATGATGCATCCGATTGCTATGGTTCCAACTGATGGAAACACAGGCTGGTTCGCTAGATAGCACCATGGTTCCAAGAATCTTGAACAGAACTGGTTTAAGAATCAGAACTGATTTGGTGGGAAAGGGGCCAGAATGAGTCTGGATGACTACCTGTTCCAAGAGTCCTGAAAGAAACTGAGTAAGGCAAAAAGAAAATCTTATTTGACAAGCTGATACCCTGTAGAGAGTATAGCTTAGTGCGAACAAAATATACTGTAGCATTCAGCCTTAAACAACTGTTTCCTCATATTACACCACTGTGGTTAATGTTTGATTAAGTTTAGGCACAAAACAAAAAATAACTCTATTTAATGAAGCAACATTAGAATTAATAAATTGTCAGATTTGCCAATAAAATTAATTGTTAGGATAAATTGTTTAAAATGATATGGCTACCTACATTTCTCTTTATTTTCCAAACTACGTCTTTAATCCCCAAAATATTTTTTTACATGAGATAATGCTTTACTCACCTCTTTTATCTGGTTTTATAAAGCATAGGCTGAGTAGAACGCTCACTGGAAATTCAAGAACAGATGGAGGTCTTAAATGTTCAAAACTGTATTATTATGCCTCACAGGAGTTTTATATAGATCGTACAATTAATAACACAGCAGAACCCTAGATAAATATTGAAAGCAAACAATTAAAGCCTCACAACCTATTTCAATTTCAATTTTAATTTACACTATAATTTGGAGCCAGCTCCTTTGAGGATGTTCTATTTAAATTGGAACAATATACGACATGCTGCTGAAGGAACAATTTAAACAATAGTAACTACAAAAGTTGCATGATAAATGGAAGATCTTCACTTTAAAGAAGAAGAAACCTTCTGGTTTTGCACAGAAGTGAACAAACTGTCTCTGAAACTCTATCATGATTATATATTGTCTGTAATTTGAACTTTTATCTGAACTATTATCCAGTCTCTTCATGAGAGGTCATTTAAGGATTTCAAACATTAGCTGTGGCCAAAAAAAATCTTTGTGTAGTTTGATTGCCACAATTTATATATCATTAGCAGTACTTTATTACCCTTTAAGAATGTTAATTAATTATTCAATTTATATCTTGTACATGCTGTATAATTAGTCTGGAATTTGGACATGGGGACAGGTTCTTGATAAAAACACACACAAGAATTTAAATTACTGAAATAACCCAGTAGGTGCTGCTGTTACACAATACATTACAGGACACATGGTGCAAGCAAGCAATAGCATGTTGAAGCTGCATGTTTGTTGCCCCACTAAACGCTTGTTCTTTTACTACAGGCTGTTATGTACAGGAACATAGTGCCAAAACAAAGAAATTTTATGTAATTAATGTTAAGTGTAAATAACACAAATACACACCCTCACACCTCTGTGAAATGTCACTGGAGAGTTCTTACGTGTCATTTTTATTGGTCTCTATGCCTTATGAATAAATGCATGTTATCAGTACTACTACAGTAGCAAAAGACTGGTTTTGATTTGATTTGATTTGACCTCTTTTTCTTGTTTTACTTTTTCAAATGCAGTTCATAACCCCTTAAGCCTGGCAAAGACCACAATTTCTTTGTCTTTCTCTCACTGTGGTCTGGAATTGGACGTACAGTTGCAAAATCGTCATGTTTTATTTAATTTCCATGGGGGAACATGTGCAAATCAGTAATGGACACAGTTCTTCATTGTTTCCTTGTAGTTAGTAATGATTGTCAAGTGGGTGGAAAGCAGTGCCGGCCCGTGGCATAGG